GCCTCCGCCCCCACCGACCTCCACTGCAAGGGCAGTCCCTCTCCTGGTCTCTGACAGCAGAGATTAGTTTTCTGTGTGTTTCTACATTATATAAATGCAGTAATCATATAGTATGTGCTCTTCTGTGTCTGGCTGATTCCACACTGTTTATTTTCCAGTTTACCCTGCCTGATTATGGGCTTCATTCATATATATATCGTGTGTGCTCTCATTGCCATGTGGCATTCTGTTGTATGAATACCTCCTAATTGATGTCTCCATTCTACTGTTGGTGGGCATTTGGGTAGCTTCTAGTTTGGCTCTCCCAAGTACTGCTGCTGAGAGCTTTTCTGTGCCTGTGTTTGGTGACTCCAAGTATGCGTTGCTGTTAGGTGATGATTTCACTGCTCAGGAGCGGCGCTGCTGGGTCATAGGGGACACCTATGTTCACTGCTAGTGGATGCTGCCAGCTCGTTTTTCCACTGTGGCTGTGCCATTTTGTACCCCCAGCTGCACCGTGGGAGAGTTTTGGTTGGCCCCCCGGTCCCCATGAACACTTGTCAATTTCCATCTTTTAGGCCAGCTACTTAATTAAGGTTTATAGTTATGATTCACAGGAGAGCCAGGTCGAAGGCAACGTATGGGCCAGTGGAAGCCAGGCGTCCCTGAAAAAACACTCTGATAGGCTGTGGGATGGATGGAAGGTTCAAACAATTTTTTTTCCCTTGGTTCTTGGCCCACGTTATAAAGGCTCTGGTCCAGGCCTGCAGACAGGTTGGCAAACTCAGGCCCGGGCCAGTCTTTATTCGTGTAGCTCTCTGAGGTCTTATGGTTTCCTTTTATCCCCAGAAACATCCCTTAGAATTTGAAACATCTTGTTTATATTTTCAGAGGCGGATCTTGGATGGAAGTCTTGGCTTTGCTGCAGGGGTAAGTAACGTGTGGTAGGAGCGATGTAAACAGAGATGTGTTTATTCTGACATTTCTCTGCCAAGGGGGTATTTCTAGGCTCTCTCCATGCAACCCAGATGCATCTCTGTGGTCTCCAGGTCCCTTTTTATCTCTGCCCCTACTTATTGGCCAGCTTATTGAATGCCCCTGCCTCTGAGACCAGAAGGGAGGCTTGCTTGTTGGGCAGCTGTCTCAGCACTTGTGAAATAAGATGGTATTTAGGAAGGGCCTCAGGTTCTCCTTGGTGCTAATTAAATATTCTTTCTTTCACCTTCCCCTGAAAAATCCTTTTGTTACTGACATCTCCAAACATGTTAAAAAAAAAAAAATGGACAGAATCCCCTGTAGCCATCATTCAGCTTCAAGCATTACTGATTTGCTAATCGCATTTCTTCTGACTTCCCCCAACCTTCTTTTTTTTTTTTTTTTAAAGATTTTATTTATTTGACGGAGAGGCACAGCGAGAGAGGGAACACAAGCAGGGGGAGTGGGAGAGGGAGAAGCAGGCTTCCCGCTCAGCAGGGAGCCCGATGCGGGACTCGATCCCAGGACCCTGGGATCATGACCTGAGCCAAAGGCAGACGCTTAATGACTGAGCCACCCAGGTGCCCCTTCCCCCACCTTCTTGAGAGGTTGGAATATTTCGTAAAAGCAAATCCAAGACATCATGTAATTTTACCTGTAAATTCAATCCACATCTCTTAACTGAATGACTTTACTTTTTTTTTTTTAACAACATAATCCTCTTATCACACTTACCCAAATTAGCAATTCCTTATTGTAACCTAACACCCAGTCCACGTTCATACTGATTCCCACCATTTTTTTTTCAAAGGGGTCATCGAAAATTGTTTTGTTAGAATCGGCATCCGAACAAGATTTTCACATTGAATTTTTGTTATATCTTTCAGGGTCTTTTTATTCTTGAACAATCTCATTTTTTTTTTTTCCACTGTAGTAATTTGTTGGAGAAACTGGGTCATTTATACCCATAGAGTATTCCATGTTGTGAATTTGGCTATTTGGCTAATGGCTTCCTGGGGGGTGGGGGGCTGTCTCCCTTGTTCCCCAGGCCCCCCTGATCTCCTGTGAGCTGGGCATTAGACCCTGGGATTTGGTGACTTCAGAGCCTGTTTTCCAGGCATGAATGTGCCCTGGTGATGCCGCGTGTTCCGAGTGTGTCCGTCCCACCAGAAGTCATGTAACATGTGGTTTTCTCTCTTGGTTAATCAGGATGTGGTTCCTTTGTCCTGTTTGTACAGTCCTATGATCTGGGGTCTCCCGGAGGTCACCTAAGTCAGCAGCCATCAGACTGGGGTCCATGGACCTTCCAGAGCACACAGAGGTCTTCCGGGTGGCACACAGGGGAACGGATAGTGTTCACAAAATCCATTTCCAGGTCCTCGGCATCCGCAGGCTCTCTTTCTTAAAACCGCTCTGCCTGAGGATGCTCTGGCAGCCGGTTCCCCTTGCCCGCATTCCCTTACACGTTTGCTCTCCCCCGCTTTCCAAAAGAAAGACACACTCTTCCCTTATTACCTTGTCTCTGGGTGGCAAAATCTCCACGTGTAAGGGGGACCCTTGGGATGTTGTGCTGATGTGGAGAAAGTGAGTCCTCTCATCACTGATCACTGGGCACAAACCCTCCAGTGGTGCAGATGCTGTCTGGTCCTTTGACTGTGGATCTAATCCAATTGTTAGCACAGAGATCCTTAAAAGTAGTTTTCCTTGATGGACCACTCTGAGATTTGGGGCCTGTAATTTGGATAAAATTCAGAGAACAAAAGGACAGTATTGTAACAAAGTATCTATTTTTTCCCCATCCTCTTCTTTATGTGAACACATTTTCTTTTTGCTTACATTTAAAAAAGAAAAAGAAGAAAGAAAAGAAAAATAGAAATAAAATTGATTCCCAGCTGTCCCTGATTCTAGCGATGACCACTTAATATTTGTCCATGGATATATGAATGAATTGAAAAAACAAGGAAAAGGGCACATCCATGGAAATATGCATTTCCAAGAATATTTTGCTTTTTAATGCTTAACAATTATAAAACTGTATTATATTTTTGTGGTTAGAGATCTATTCCCTACCACTTATAGTTGTAATGGTAACTCAATCCAGGAAATTGTTACTTAAGCAGTTAGAGCCCTAGGCTTACATGGATTTTCCTAAAAATTAAATTATATTGCAAAGAAGTAGGGTAAAGAAATCAATAATAGACTTTCTAGCATAAAATATAAGTTGCTTTAGGAGAAATTCTGTGGGGAAATGGAATTGAAACAAATCTAGGAGAAAAAGGAATGATGTAAGTTTTTGGACTTTTGAAGAAGGGCTTGCTTGTGCTTTTTTGTGTGTTTAGAAAATAGCCTGTGAACAGAAGAGTACATAACACATGAACATACAGTGTAGTTTATATATATTTTTCAGTGGATAATGGTGGGAATCAAATCCCTCTGCCATTTAGATCCTAGCGGATACATTTAATTGACCGATGAAACAGTTTTATTTAAAGAAATCACTTTAGGCCAGAAATTACATCTTTTGCAACTCTTTAAACTCAAGATGAAAATATTTTAAATGTCAATTTTAAAAGAAGTGAGGAGGTACCTAGTCTTTAAAAATTCTTACAAGGGTTACATAGATACAGAGTTTGAAGAACTCTGTTCTGTGCTGTCTTTCTGCTTTTGACTAGGCATTTGTGTCTCCTGTTCTAGTTTGTTCTTTTTTTATTGTTTTTTTAAGATTTTATTTATGTATTTGAGATAGAGCGAGAGAAAGAGAGAGAGAAAGCGAGAGCACAAGCAGGGGGAGCGGCAGGCAGAGGGAGAAGCAGACTCCCCACTGAGCAGGGAGCCCGATGCGGGACTTGATCCCAGGACTCCACGATCATGACCTGAGCTGAAGGCAGATGCTTAATGACTGACCCACGCAGGTGTCCCTCAAGTTTGTTCTTTTAGGGCAAAAGCCACTGTAAGATTTACATAGCAAAAATCAAAAACCGATGTGAAACAAGAAAGGAAACCAGCAAAAGCAGAGGACAATAGTCTTCAGGACATGTCAGAATGAATTTGGGAGCATGAAACATGAACATTTAAGATGAAATCATCAGGCCAGTGTATTGTGGTCATTTAAGTATGAGGATCTAAAACAAAATAGTTTTACTTCTGATTTTTTTTTTAAATGATTTTATTTATTTATTTGACAGAGAGAGACACAGCGAGAGAGGGAACACAAGCAAGGGGGAGTGGGAGAGGGAGAAGCAGGCTTCCCGCCGAGCAGGGAGCCCGATGCGGGGCTCGATCCCAGGACCCTGGGATCATGACCTGAGCCGAAGGCAGACGCTTAACCGACTGAGCCACCCAGGTGCCCCTTTACTTCTGATTTTTAATGTAGTTGGTTAAAAAAAGAGATTCTAAAAATTATCTGTGTATGCACGCTGCTTCTTCTTCTCCTTCTTCTTCTCTTCCTCCTTCTCCTTTTTCTTCTTCTTAGCATTTTCTTTTCTGAAACTGACCTTGAGGTAGTTCCATAAGAGGAACTCCTGGAAGGTCAGCAGATACATGGAGAAAAGTAAAAGCATGATGTGGGAGACAGTTGAGGCTCAAACGCAGGAAATTTCAGTGGCCTTGGTGACTAGTAGTGAGTTCTCATAAATGCTTCCCCAAACTAGGGAAAAGGCAGTAGAGCCCCGGGGGCCTGAGCTATAATAACTGCTTGTAGTAATCATGGAATAATTTATAATGAATATGGCCATTCTGCTGGTTAGGACGGTAGTTCTCAACTGAGGGATGCTTTTACCCCCCGGGGGACATTTGGCATGTTTGGTTGTCAAAACTGATATCTAGTGGCTAAGGGCCAGGGATGCGCACCTAAACACCTTCTGGTGCCCAGGATGGCCCCCACCACAAAGAATTTTCCAGACTGACATGTCGGTGGTGCCATGCCAAGAAATCCAGGTCTAGAGCATTTTGATGTGTCCTCTCTAGTCACAGAGTGGAATGTGTAAAAAGACAGATGTATTTAAAGTTAGAAGAAGAAGGAGAAGGAGGAGAAAACCATCCTGCCACTCCCCCCTTGCTTCCCAGAGGTCGCCACTGTTAGCCCTGAGCAGATCCTTAGAGAACTTTTATCATGCACATACAAGGTATTTGGATAAACATGCCATAGTGCTTGGTATCCTTCAACACAGCTTTTGTATTTACTCTTCACAGCTCTGAGACACTTTGAATAAATATCTTGGAAAGGGAAAACTAGCAGGGCACCTGGCTGGCTCAGTCGGTGAAGCATCTGCCTTCAGCTCGGGTCATGATCTCAGGGTCCTGGGATCCAGCCCTGCATTGGGCTCCCTGCTAAACTGAGGGTCTGCTTCTCCCTCTCCCTCTGCCTCTGTCCCCCCACTTGTGCACGTGCTCTCTCTCTCAATTAAATAAATAAAATCTTAAAAGAAAAAACGAAAAGGGAAAACTAGCCATCAGCCAGTTGACTGGGGTCCCACTGTACCCAGCACAGATGTAACACATTTTCATGGGCAGCTGTGTATACGTTTATGTGTGTGCGCTGCTGCTTCTTCTCCTTCTTCTCCTTCTCCTTCTTCTTCTTCTTAGCATTTTCTTTTCTGAAATACGTATCTGGTATAATGCTGCAGTAACACATCTCTACAATATATAATTGTGCACTGAGAAAGGAGATTCCTAAGAGTAAGGACATGTCATTTTAAATGTGCTTAGCGGGGGCGCCTGGGTGGCTCAGTTGGTTAAGCGACTGCCTTCAGCTCAGGTCATGATCCCAGGGTCCTGGGATCGAGTCCCACATCGGGCTCCCTGCTCTGCAGGGAGCCTGCTTCTCCCTCTCCCACTCCCCCTGCTTGTGTTCCCTCTCTCACTGTGTCTCTGTCTGTCAAATAAATAAATAAAAAATCTTAAAAAAAAAAAAATGTGCTTAGCGGGATATTTCACAGGTGGTTTTTTCTCATTAGTAGG